TCAGGAAGGAAATAACTACTGTCAAAAGTACCTTTAACAATATATAAGATGCCTTAATTCACTATCTCTTTTCATAGGAACCAAACATTTAACTATAAAGCAAAAAAAACTTTTAAATTAATAAAACAATTACATAAAAGAAAACTATAATAAAAATATTCTATAGTCCTAGTTTTGAGTTTTCTGCCTCAGCACTGATTTGGTTCATTAGTGAAAGCAGGCACATATTTACTGACAGTACATGAAGTCTGGACTGGTTTACAATGTGGCTCCTGTCCTCTCTGAAAATGCCCTCTTTTAATTTGCATATCATTGTGAAATGCATCAACATCAGTCACTCTGGCATGCTCCTTTTTCATTCCTTCTTCACTGGATTTATTCTCTCTCTACTTTTTATTTTGGAAAAATTTCTTTTAAACGAACTCTTAGCTTCTTTATATTAGAGTCTATTAATATTAGCTGGCTAAATAGATATGTCAATATTTCTTGCTTTGAAATACTAACCTAATATATTTAAATATTATCAGTGACCATAAAATCAATTTCAATCAACTTTATTGATATTGGTGAATTATTTAAGATATTGATATTTATAGCATAAATTCACTCGACTGTACATGTGGATAGGAGGTAAATGATAGAAAATGCACTAGATATGATGTTGAAAATGAAAAGAAAAAACATAGGATAATATATTTCTAATCTGGTGATGCTATAGCTCCACAAATGAGCTAACCTTACAGTTTACTAATTTTGGTTTTATATCTTTAAAGAGTTAAGGAGTTTGACTAATAAAAATTTCTATTTAAAACTTTATGACATTTTTATAAATACAAACAATTACACTGCAAGTTAATAAAATTAGTAAAATGATTATTATTGGTTCTCAGGAGAGGTTGTAAAATATTAAGGATAAAGAATAACAAACACAAAAAAATCTTATAAGTTTGAAAAAAATTATACTAACTTCTAGTTATTTTAAGATTTATTAGTTCCACATAAAACACTAACATAATTTTGATTTTTGAAAACACAAAAGAAAAAGCAGTTAACTGAAGCTTCTTTTTTTTCTTTTATATGAAATACTGTTATAAATTTAATAATATATAACAACTTTTTAAATGTAACTTTATTTGCCTTGGCAAGCAGAATATATGCAGTTCTTTATTTTGGCAAGTAAAAGCATGAAGTAAGAGTAACTGATTATGTCTAGCAACAACTTCACAGTTATTCCAAATATTATAATCCATAGAATTTGAACTCTCACTAAGAGTTCTATGTTAAATTTGAGATGCTAAAGTCTATATATTTTATGAATATTTCACATATTAAAAAGTCAGTAGAAATCACAAAACCACAATCACAGACTTTCACTTTTGTATGGCTTCTTGAATGTATTGAATTACATCCGTAAGCACAGAATAATTTGTCTAGCTTTTTTCATGGCTCCAACTGTTTACATGCGGATGATCCCCAAATCTCCACCTCCTGGAGCCCAGACCCTTAACCTGAGCCTTATTCTTTTATCTCTGATTGCCAAGGGGACATCTCTGTCTAATGTCTTCACAGTCACCTTAAACAAGCTATGTCCAAAACTGAGCTCATTATCTTTCCCGTAAACAGGTCCATTCTTTATTCCTTTTCTACATTATGGCTACATCACTTATCAAGAAGTCCTGCTAGGTAGGGTCAGGGAGATCTGGGGGAGATAATAGATCAACCGAAGGACTTGTATACATGCATATAAGTACAACCAATGGACACAAAACTCTGGGGAGGGGGGTATGTATGGGGGGGGCAATGTTAAATTATGTACACAGATAATAAATGAATTTAAAAAATGGAGAGAAAAAAAGAAGTCCTGCTAGATTCCTTCCTCTACTCTATCCTACTCCTCCCTCCATATTTAAACAGTTCCTACATATGCTAATAATCTTATTTTTTTAAATTGATTTTAGAGAGAGAGGAAGGGAATCAATCAGTGATCTTCTGCATGAGACAACACTGAACCAACTGATCCACACTGGTCAGGGCCCTATTTCTTAAATTCCAGTGAATCAAACTTTTTCACTCACCCCCAGAGTCACTGCTTTATTTCAGAACCAACTAATTTTTATCAGAATCATTGCAACAGCTTTGTAATGCATTTCCTTCCCTTCTATTAACCTCATTTCAGTCCACCTTCCACAATGCCATCAAAGTGACCAGAGGCAAACCTCCTCTGCTTGTTTCTTCAGCCTGGAAGGCCATTCATTAATTAATTCATTTATTAACAAAATATTTATTATCAATTATAGACACTATATAGGGATTTGAAGATATAAAGAGATGAAAAACATGACCCCTATTTTCAATCAAGATCTAAAAGTAAACTTGCCCTTCTACTTTTTTTAAAAATATATATATTTTATTGATTTTTCACAGAGAGGAAGAGAAAGGGATAGAGAGTTAGATACGTCAATGAGAGAGAATCATCAATCAGCTGGCTGTTGCACACCTCCTACTGGGGATGTGTCTGCAACCAAGGTACATGCCCTTGACCTGAATCGAACCCGGAACCTTTCAGTCCGCAGACCGACGCTCTATCCACTGAGCCAAACCGGTTTTGGTGCCCTTCTACTTCTTTTGCCTCAGTTTTGGATATAAAAAGTTTAAAGATGTCTATGGAAAGTCCAGGAAAACTCCCAATTCTTCCTTTCAAAGTTAGCTGAAGAGACATCTTGTCTCGGAATCTTCCTCAGTATTCCTATTAAAGCTGGAAGTGATCTCTATGTGTACCTCTGACATCAAGGACATATTTCTATAACATTTTGAGGTAGAATTGTAACCCCTGGCTTTTTCGAATTTTCCCTAGTAGGCTGTGAGCCTCCTGAGATGCAGGGCCTCATTGTGTCCTCTTCCCCCCCCCACTCCAAGGCTAAGATAATGCCTGATCCATAGGCGATTTTATTCAGTAAATCTTATTCTTTCATGACTACAATATTTTTCATGTGACCACAGTGTACAATTTTTATAGATATACTAATTCTTCAAAGAACAACAATTTTAAGCCAAGAAATTGAAAATTTTGTTGTAAATTTTTATTTTAAACAATTAACTTGCTATTTTAGAAAATTAATGAAATTATTATTATTTGTTTCTCAGAAGATGCTGTCAAAGTGACTTCTATCTTGTTTCATTGCTTTAGAGATTCTCATTTGTTCTAAAAAAATTATGTATATACTTTTTCTTCTGAGGTAAAATGTGTCTGTCTATACTGATTTTTAAAAACAAACTTTTTTCCTAGTTTTATCCCCTCCCCCCCTTTTATTGAACATACTGTGGTGATACTGGTCAACAAAATGATACAAGTTTCAGGTGCATATTGTACATCTGATACTCTATTGTGTGTTCACCACCCAAGTCAACTCTCCATCCCTCACTATTTACATCCCTTTACCTCCTCCACCCCAATCCTGAAAACATCTTACTATTGTCTGTGTCCTTGAGTTTTTTTCTCTTTTTTGTTCAATCCCTCTACCTCATCCACCCAGCCCTCTGCTCAGACAGTCAACCTGCTAACTTTTCTAACTTTAAAGGAATACAATTACTTGGTAGAATTTAGAATATACAGAAAGACAATGAAAATAATGTTAGTTTTAAAGTAATATTTATTTGATGCATTTCCTTCTATGACTCTTATATGTAACTCAATTTTTAAACAAAATAGTTATACATAAGACGGTGTTTTCCTTTTTTCACCTAATATATTATAAATCCTTTAATGTTATTTATAGTTCTTTGAGAACCATTTTAAGCTTGTATGTTATACTTATATGACTATTCCAAGATTTATTTCACAATCATCCTTTATTCAGGTAAGTGTAACAGATCACTATTATAATTAATGTATGGTAAAAAAAATATCACTATCATATGCAATGTTGTGATAACATCTTCATAGAAAACATTGTACACATCTCTATCTCTATTAGAATAGATTTTTAGAATGGAAATTATTGGCCCAGCCAGTGTGCTCAGTGGTTAAGCATCCACCCATGAACAGGAGGTCATAGTTAGGGCACATGCCTGGGTTACAGGCTCAATCCCCAGTAAGGGGCATGCAGGAGGCAGCTGATCGATGATTCTCTTTCATCACTGATGTTACTATCCTTCTCTCCCTCTCCCTTCCTCTAAAAACCTATTTAGAAAAAAGAATGGAAATTACTGGATCAAAAGCATGAACTTTTAAAAGCTCATGATACATACAAAACAGTTTTCCAGAAAGTTTGTATACATTCACATTTGCTTATATATTAAATTACCAAACACACTGCTTATGTTTATTTTAAAAATTCATCCTTGTGTGGAAAGGGGATGTACATGATATTTTCCAGTAGTTTAAGAAAGTGTGATTGATGTGCACAGATGGTAGAAGTAATAATGATGCCTTACAACTTTGCAGCAACATGGTTACTTACTTCGTCTTACTTCTACCACGATCCTATGAAGTGGGACTATTATCTCTATTAAAGCTAGGGGAACTGAACCTCAAGTCAGTGTTGAAACAGGCTGTTTATTAAAGCCTTCCTCAAGAACTCTCATTCAAACACTGAGAATTTGGTTGAGAGAAAGTAGCAGGTAAAAGAGTAGCTATTTATGTTATTTATTCCTCCTTTCTTTCTAGCTAGTATGCAATTAGACAGATGGCCTTTAATAAACGGAGTTATGCCCAGGAGTTTCATCTGTATCAGTATCAGATTGCGTCACCTAGAAACTTACCTCATTCAAGGGGACTGGCCTGTAGAGCCCATTCCCATCACCTCCCTGACAGATTCTCTAGCTGAGCCATATTTTTCTTCTTTATTCAGAAGAGTATCAGTATCGCTGAACGACATGGTAAGGGCTACTCTTTTAACACAGTTTTGGGGGTGGCATAGATGAAAACAGTAGTAGTCTTTGGGGTGATCATCCAGAATGGCAGATCGATTTTTCTTCTGGTTAAAACGACATATTCTTACCTTAACTATCAATCCTTTAGAGTCAACCAACCATATCTTTTTTATGGCTTTCTCCTTTGGTAAACCTTCTTTCTCCATGGCCATTACAATCAGGTGAGCAATCCCTAAGGAAGCCTGAGAAAAGGTCATAAAAACAAAATTTTGTTAAGTTGTTCCACATTGTATCTTATCAGGTTACATTTCACTGCATTTTGTTCTTGTTAATAAGGATGTACAAAATGGCCCTGTCTGTTGGCCCAAAGAGCTACTCATTTATTCATTTGTAGTGGGAGCAAAGTATTTTTGTCACATTTGGGTTAAAATGAATGATGATTATTCTTATCACAACAGAACCACTATTATGTAGCTTCCTATTTAGCCACAAATAAACCAGTAATATCCTTGATTGTCAGTATCTTTGATCATGTTAATACAATTAAGATTTGCACCAATAAGAAAATATTGAATTTAAAATAATGAACTGGTCAGCCTTGCTTATTGGACTGTGTATTGTTTATTGTTGGGTTCAAGCTCCTCTAACTGAATTTGAAGAAGGAAGCCAGGTTATTTGGATGGGAACTTAACCAAACAGGCCATACAATGAAACACAGAAAATCTGTGTTCCCAAGCATTTATTTACCCTCTTAATTTGAACAAAAAAAGCACTGTGAATTTTCTTTCAAGATTAAAAGAATGAACTTCTTTGTTATTTGATAAACTGTCATAATTTGTGAAATTTCCAAAACGTTATCATGAGTGACAGTTTTGAGCCATCCAACCACCAATACTTCTATCCTACTGTCAAAAGCTGGTCTGTGCCACTCAACAAAATCCTTTGGAAATTCAAAAGAAGTTTACTAAAATGAAGTACAGCATGATACAATCCACAGAAATAAAAAACTCTGCCTTGATTTTTATTTCAGTTTGAAAACAAATTTGTGACTTAACATTCTGAGTATTTCACATCTATAGCTTGGCATCTAAGTTCTAGATTTGTATATTTTGTTTTAAGAACAAGTAAAATCAAAACCAACATAATTTCTACAAGTGTAATGTATTTAGTCATAATCTTATTAAATTTGTATATTTAAAGCATCTTAAAATATATATGGTACAGCCACAAGGCATTTCTCTATTTATTTCATTCTATAATTCTGAACAGATTTTGGCAGTTTTCTCACAAGAAGCTCAACTCAACTAACATTTTAATTTCTATTTTGGGGGTGAATTATTATTGCTAGAGTCTAATTTTCTTTCAAATGATCAATTTATAGGAAAAGATAACAGAAAGTAGCATAATTCTGTCTTGATGCTATCTCCTTCCAAAAGTATAAAATATTTTTGTTCTTTCTTGTGAGAACAGTTGTAATGAACAATGAGTCTCTCGAATACTTTTTTCTTAAAAACTTAGATATAGTTATATGTGTAAACATTGGGTTGTGAGTGAAATTAAGAAAACTTTTGTGACACTGGAGGATGTAAAAGTTAGCATCAGATAGCATACCCTATTTCTTAACGGCTTTTATACTAGTATATAAGCATACATTGGAAACTTCTGTTATTGCATGGCACCTTAAGTATGCATAATAAAAACCTGTGGCGACATCTGATAAAAACTTATCAATGTAAAAATTTGAAAAATATCTCTATAACCCTAAAGCCTCCTATGAAAAATTAATAAGCTTCAAAATGAATGTAAATTTGTGAATCTTTCAATAAAACATATTTACAATATACTAGATATTTGAAAGAATACTTCAAATTTCAAGTTAATGAGTAATTAAAATGAACTCTATGTTCATTAGTCTAGGGGAACATAAGTATTATATAAGGCAGGTACCTCTCCAGCTCCTTGGAATAGGATTGTTTGATCAGACAGTTTGTTCTTGGTTATTCGAAGAGCTGCAAGGATACCTGCGACTGCAACAGATGCTGTTCCTAAAAGAAGTAATAAATGTCCTTGAGTAATCCTCAAACAGATCCTGCCAATGTCTAAGCCTCCGAGCTTTATTCACATCTCAAAATCATATACAACAGTTTAAATGGTACAAAGAGGGAACCTGTGGTTGTCGGATTCCATCCTTGCATATGAGGTGAAAGTCTCACGCAACTGACATCAATATTTTAATATATTCTTGAAACTCTGTAAAGAAGATTCTGTGACTTAATTTGGTGATGCAATAAATAAGAGCAAGGGATTTGGATTCTTATGTGTATTCCACCTCAACCTGTTTACTAGATGAATTACTTTAGAAAAACTGTTTTGTACATCTGTTTCCTTATCTGTAAAACAGTTTTGCTATCTGAGATAAAAGACTACTAAGTGTTATTAGATTCTTCTACCTAATTGCTCTTGGGGCTCTAAAATCTATTACTGATCTCTTCTACCCAAAGTGGGCATATAGTAAGTGTTTATTGATAATTGTGTTGTTTGTGGTAATGATGTTTATGATACATTTGGAATTTAAGGTTTTAATTTTATATTTAAAAAATTAACAGTTAATATATCAATTTTAGCCCTAGCTGATTTGGCTAGAGTACTGGCCTATGGACTGAAGGGTCCCAAGTTCAATTCTAGTCAAGGGCACATGCCCAGGTTGTGGGCTCTATCCTCAGTGGAGGGTGTGCAGGAGGCAGCTGATCAATGATTCTCTCTCATCCCTGATGTTTCTATCTCTCTCTCCCTCTCCCTTCCTCTATGAAATCAATAAAAATATTTTAATCAATTTTAAGATCAGAAGTTGTAGCATTCTTTAATTGGATTCCTACCTATAACCACTGGTGAATTTCAAAGGTGCTAGAAAAAATTAATGTAAAATTTATTTAGAATTAAAACTGAGTTTTCCACATGATTGTAGAAACTTCACCAATTCCAATTTTATTACTTTGACATATAAGCTTTCACAGATCACAGAGCAGTTCTTTTGCTTTGGGCATAATTACATAGCTCAACCTAAATCTATGCAGCTTCTTGCAGTATGTTCCAGCTGTGTCTACATTTTACTCCTTTAAAGTAATGATTCTAGATAATGATTCAAGATAAAGCCTGGTTAAACTGTAAAAACAATCACTGATTAAAAACAAACAATAACTGATTAGAATAGGTATGATGAATGACAATTATGAAGTGTTACGTATGCCAACTACCAAAACATAGTAAACATGTCATCATCAATATATCTGTTCTTTTAAATATTTTGGTTGTTTCTTTCCTATAGAATTTTGTGGTCATAAATAAGACCACAATGAGTAACAATTATAATTATTGAAGACCCTCTCTTGTTTTTTATTTTGGAACATAATGTGCATCACAAAAATAAAATGCTTGCAATTTGGAATCACCAGTGAAATAAATGATGATCTGTGGTAAGTCATACTCTATGCAAAGGCCACTTTTCCATAGATTATTTAAAATGAAAGGCTGTTTAAATACACAGCTGATCTATGTATGAAAAATACCAGACAGCATTAGAATGGTATTTGTCTCATGCATCTACATATATTTACTACAACTGTTAAATACATGAAAAAATAATTTTAGTTAGAGAAATATATCTAGTCATTAGATAAGTACTTATTCACAAATAATAACTCAATCTATATCTATTTCAGGCTCTTTTGAAGTAAAATAGTCAGAAATTTGGATTTGAGGGACTCTATTTTCTCTTCTCTGATATTATGTAGTTTTAAGGGTTTCTACAGATTCTATCAGTACCACAAAATTTAACCAGTTGCAGAGTCATCATCACAGTGTCATCAGCAACCTCTGTATCTATATTATTGTTTTGATTTTAAGTAGAACTGCACATTTCAGAATAGACAATAAAATATTCTGAAAGTTTCTATCTATAAAGTAGTGACTTATTTGTATATGGTTATGCTAGATCAGTCTGTATTTTTAATTAAAAATGCTTTAAGTTCATACATATCCAAATTAAGACAAAAATAAGTTTCTGTCTATACTGGGTATCATCAGAGCCTTATACTTAAATACATATTCTATAATATTTTCTGAGTACTTAATCAAACACTTCTCTTTACAGAATTAAATAAAATCAGAGCCCAGCTGGTGTGGTTCAGCAGTTGAGAATCGACCCAGAAACAAGAGGTCAGAGGTTCAATTCCCAGTCAGGGTACACACCCAGGTTGTGGGTTTGATCCCTATTAGGAGGCATGCAAGAGGCAGCCAATCGATGATGATATTCCTCTCTCATCAATGTTTTTATCTCTCTATTCCTCTCTCTCTCTAAAAATCAATAAAAAAATATATTTTAAAAGAATAAAGTCAGAACAATAGTTTTAGCACTATCAAAAAGATACTTGAATATGGTTAGGGTTAGTTGGACCTTCTGGTACAATCTTGATTTAAATTTCATTGCAGTCAGAGTAAATGTGGTAAGTTGATATTTCAGAATTATTTGAATTCTTACAATAAATTATTCCAAAATAACTTTGGTTTTGAAACTGACAACTAAACTTTTAGTCAATCAGAGAGAGGCTACTGTTTATAAAATCACTGTATTGTAAAGAATACTAAATACTTAACATTGTTAGTAAGCTACTAAAGAGATTCAATTTTCTTAAAATTTTATAAACTTCTATTTGTATTTGTATATAATATGAATTTAGCATTAAAATAAGTCACAGTTAGTTATGCTGTGCTTTTGCTATGGTTATTAAATGTCAGTCCTACCTTTTATCAAAGAATGATCTATACATACACAATAATGTAATCTGATTATAACATATATATAAATTATAATCAGATTAAATTATATATAACCACTAAAGGAGACTGACATGTAATCTAATAATTGTAATCCTCATGTACCACTCACATAAATAGATCAGGCAAAGTACAAGGCCTAGAACAGGGGGAGGAGGAGTGAATTTGTTTAGGCACAGGCCATGGCATTTAGAGAACATACCCCCTGAGCATAGCATTGAAGGGTTAATGTGAGAGGTCCAGCACCGCAGGTGGCAGAATGAACTATACAGGAAAGCATGAGCAAAGAGATGGAAGGAGGGATAAGTGTGAAAAATGAGACTGAGCATATAACATTGTTTTCCTTCTCCACAACCAACTCTATTAAAATCACAGAAAGAAGATTTTTATTTTTTAATCAAAGAGACCAGGAGAAGAGGATAGCAATAACATTTTAGAAGTGGAAGGTAGATGGGCAAATGGCAACTGACATAGCAGACTTTGAAAAGCTGAATTCCTGGCCAGTCGTGGGGAATTCTAAGAGGCAATCAGACTGATATGGCAGAAGTCTCGAAAGACCTAGATACAGGAGGCACCAAGTACCTCTGGAAGTGGGGAAGAAAAAGAAGCTAAAAACAGAAGGCTGGTCAAACATCTAAGTAGTAGTCAGACACCAGATTCACTTCCCTCTCCTAGCAGACCTTTGGCCTTCCACACTATGGAGACTTAGAAAAAAACTAAAAGCCTATTTTCTAGAGAGTATCACTGGGCTGTAAGATACCAGGAGTAATTGTTAGACACGAGGATTACCTGGGTGCAAGGATAACATAGTTGTAAACCGAAGATAAAATGAAAGTGTGCATATTCAATATGGAGACCCCCAGTCTTCTCTTACGTGGCTCAAAGAACACTGGCAGAAAGCTAATACCAGCAAGGTAATAATAAAAGAGAAATCGGAAAAATAATTTCTGTGGAATCTGAGCAGTGTTAAGAGAAAAAACACACACCAGACTGATAAGGAAATGGTTTATGGGAAAGACCTAGAATACAAGCTCCATTTGTACACTGAGCCTCCAAAAATATAAAGGGAGAGGAAACAGAACATATGTGAAGCTGTAGGTATTACAGTGTTGCTAAAGCAAACTCAGCTTATTGGAATGTAAAGTGATATGAGGCTAGAGAAGTATCAGTATGAGATTGTACAGTGCCTTCTACTACAAAATCATAGTAGCTATAGATATGTATAAGACTATGTGTCATTATAATTTATTATAGGTAACAAATGGTTGCTGAAAGATTCTAAATTCAGAGAGCAGTGGGGGTAATTGATTTGAGTTTTGAGGCTGATATTATGTAGACAAATTAAAAGCTCATTTAAATCTTTGATGTATCTGAAAAACCAAGATGGCGGCAAAAGGTATGCACCTGTACCTGCTGCCTCTCACAACCACACCAAAACTACTACTAAACAACAAAACATCTATCACCCAGAACCACGGGAAAGCTGGCTCCCAGCTGCTTGCCTACCTGCCAGCCTAATCACCCCCTAACCACTCCCATGCCAGCCTGATCGACATCTAACTGCTCCCCTGCTCTCAGGATTGCCCCCAACTATCCTCTCCTGCCAGCCTAGTCGCCCCCAACTGCCCTCCCCTGTAGGCCAGATTGCCCCTAACTGCCCTCCCCTGCTGGCCATCTTGTGGCAGCTATCTTTGACCACATGGGTGGCCATCTTGTGTGAGGGCTTGAGGGTCAATTTGCATATTACCTCTTTATTTATAGGATTATTATATACCCTGTTTCCCCGAAAATAAGACAGTGTCTTAAATTAATTTTTGCTCCCAAAGATGCACTAGGTCTTATTTTCAGGGGATGTCTTATTTTTCCATGAAGAAGAATACGGTACACATTTATTGTTAAATGAAAATAAAGGAAATTTATTACCTGTATACAGTACGGTAGTATGGTAGTTGTCAACATAAACCAGACAAACTATGAATCCTACAGTATCAAGAATTTACTCATTTATTCAATGACAATCATGTCATCATCTTCTGGAACATCATCATAACAATCCAATTCCTGAATTCCCTGGTGAATTTCTTGTGACTCCATTTCTTTCAGAATCAGTGGACCAAATCTCTCATGTTTAGCCTGGGGGGGGGGCTTATTTTCAGGGGAATGCCTTATATTTTACTCAGAAGGAAACCTGTAAATAGGTCTTATTTTCGGGGAAACACTGTAGGATAAGTCCTAGGGATGTAATGTATAACATAGTGACTATAGTTAATAATACTGTATTATATATTTGAAAGTTGCTAAGAGAATAAATGTTCTCATCACAAGAAACAAAATTTGTAACTATATGAAATGATGGATGTTAAGCCTATTGCAGTATGTACATATATCAAATCATTATGTTGTACAACTAAAACCAATACAATATTCCATATCAATTATACCTCAATTTTAAAAATAAATAATTAAAATAAATAAATATTTGTACATTTGTTTTGCATTTTTACTTGCTCAGGATAAGTTGCTAAAAATAAAATTATTAGATCAAAGATCTGCACGTTTTCAAGGTATTTGACACATGTTGCCTCTCCAGGAATTTTACCAATTTATATTTCCACCTTCGATGAACGAGAATGCTCATTTTCTTTAAAACATCATTAACAGTTAGAATGATAAAAATATTTGCCAGTTTGATAGAGAAAAGCAGTTTCTCATTTGCTGTTTAATATACTTTTTATAACTTAATGGTGTAGTTAAAACTTTAAAATGTGAATGTGTTTTTCAGCCAATGTATTCATTCTTTTGTGAAATCTTTTCAATTATCAACACATTTAGTATAAGATTAGGCAACATTTACCTTATTTTAAAAATCCTAACAATCAAACTAGGAGCCAAAGAGGCTACTATGAGAAGAAAAATCTCTTTTTGTAGCTGATTTTAAAATAAACAGAGAATGAGACCAACTCTTTGGGTGAATTTGCTCAAGTTTGATGGTCTCCAAGTTATATAATTAAATGTTTAATAGATTTAATCCGCACATTTTTTTCAGTTAAAAATAATTTATAATTAGAATGCATTATGAACTAAATAAATTTTGAACCAAAATCTCTATTACTTATGATTATTTTAGATCATTAATACAGTAGAATTTTAAATATTTTTAAAAATCAAATATATTCATAAAATAATATCTTTAAATAACACATCTGTTTTAAAATATTCCCCAAGGGTTCAATGTAAAAACATTTATTTACATGGTAAGGCTGTAATACTTACATAATTCTTTTTGTTGGCACTGGAAGGCAATTCCTATGCCCACAGTGGGGAAAGTATTACATTTGTGGGAAAAATGGTAAAAACATAAGGTTAAAAAGGTAAAATAGAAGCATATGTGGGAAATGTGTCACTGAGGACACTATTTGGTATGGAAAAATGGTTTGGTCATTTCTAGTCAGAAACCTAATAAGTGGCCACAAGTTTTCTTTTGTCAGAGATTAAATCTATTTTTTCCCCCAAATTATTCATTTTGAGGCTAAGGTAGTTTTATTTTAAAACTCCTATGTGAAGCCGAAACCGGTTTGGCTCAATGGATAGAGTGTCGGCTTGGGGACTGGAGGACCCGGGTTCGATTCCGGTCAAGGGCATGTACCTTGGTTGTGGGCATATCCCCAGTAGGGGGTGTGCAAGAGGCAGCTGGTCGATGACTCTCTCATCGATGTTTCTAACTCTCTATCTCTCTCCCTTCCTCTCTGTACAAAATCAAATAAAATATATTTAAAAAAAAAAAAAAAAGAAAAGAAAAGAAAAAACTCCTATGTGAAAATAGGTAGACAAAATGGATGTTGATTACATTTGAGGGCAGGTTACTGGGGATGAAAAACCAGTACTGAATGCCTCCATGACTTGATAACCTTTCTGGCTGATACCTTAGCTTGACAAAAAGTGTCACTTACCCAACAAAGAAGAGAATGCTTTTGTTGCTGGCAGAATTAGCATAATGTTGAAACATAAAGAGGCCATCAAGGGTTCTAATGTTGCTAAGGTATAAAAGTGCTCACAAAACAACAATCACAGCCAGCAAGGCTAAGAGGCTGAACTCAGGAGTTGAGTGTTGACCTAGATTCCTGGTCTGTGCCCCACTTACCAGGGCTCCAGCAGAGGGGATGCAGGAGGTAGCTGATCAATGATTCTCTCTCATCATTGATGTTTTTATCCATCTCTCCCTCTCCCTGCCTGTCTGAAATCAATAAAAAATATTTTTAAAAAATTTATCAAACCACCTCCCACTAGCCTAATCAAATCACTTTCAGAATTATTTCTAGGGCTGTCTATCAGCGTTTAAAAAGAAAAGAGACAAACAAATGAACACAAGTAACATAGACAAAAGCAGGTAGTACAGGAACTACACTCTATCAAAAACAAAATAGTAAAAATCAATGCACTATACAGAAAGGTGGCTTTTATTGGGATGAAGTTTAGAAATTGTGGCCGATTGAGGTAATAGCTAAAGAGAAAAGTATATGCAGTTTATTTTAAAACAATGAATGGTACATTTTCAGTTTGATTTCTTGTTAGCTGTAATCATGAAATTTTATCAGATTTTGGGGAGCTCGTTCTCTAGCTCATGGGTTATATGACATATTCCAGTGTCACAGAATACTTTTCTCAAATACAGTATAAGAAAATAACAATAATGTATCAAATCATGAAGCATAATTCCTGGTATTCAGTAGATATTCTTTTTTATTTTATTTTTGCATATAATTTGCATACAAAATTATATTAGTTTCAGGTGTACAACATAATGATTCCACATTGTATGCCTTAAAATGTGGTCACCAAAATAAGTCTAGTAATCATCTGTCACCATATTATGATATTACTGTCTATAATACCATGTCTTATTTCTTTTATAACTGGGAGTTTGTTGAAATAAGACATTAAGAATATACATCTCAGGTAAAAACTGCTGTTTGAATTTTAACCCTGCTAAGTCTGGCTCCTGCACCTGATTAATCATAGAATGTTTACCTCAGCTTCCAGGTGGAGACCTGGAGGCTAAAGCAATTTTCCCTTGCCTGGGACCAGGACCACAGGAGATTGATTCCCGCTGACTCAGTAACCTTCAGAGACAGAAATTGTAGATAACCTCTGAGCTCTGCTTCTGTGTTATCTATGGCAAGATAGGGCCACATTCCAATGTGACTGGAAAAGACCCTTCGGGCTGACCCCAGTCTTTAGAATGTAATCTTTAAGATTAAGAATTTAGAACAAAGAAAAATTTCTGTGGTTTGAACCTTTAAAAGGGACTGCCTACCCCTGAAGCGGTGCAGTCCTGTGGAGTCCACCTGCATGTGGTGCTCTTGCGACTGTCCTGGCCAGTTATTTTAATAAATTCTTGCCTGCTTTTTTAATCAATCATCAGCCTCTGGTGGTCTTATTTTGAACCCAGGGTTTGACCCCACAACATATGTATCTCTTATACTCTTTAACTCTTTTCACTCATTCCTCCAACCTCCTCCACTCTGGCAACCATTAGCAGAAACTATTCTTGTCCACATGCAGTGAAAATTTTATTACCTTGAATATCATCATTGAATGTGCAATACTGGTTTCGATATTTGTTCAGGAGACGAAATGCATTTACATTGGCAAAATCTTCAAATTGAATAAGGCAATTCATGCCATACCTATGGGACAAAACATTCATGTTAGAAGAAGTTAATGAAATAACATCTATATATATAAAACCCTAAGCAACCAGCCTACCATTTGACCAGTCGACTGGTAGCTATGACACTCAATGACCACCAGGGGCAGACGCTCAACACAGGAACCACTGAGCTGCAGTGACTTGGCAGCTGTGGTTCTTGGGTGACTCACCCAAAACCAGAGAGGAGAGACCCTGATTTCGAGGTGTATCACCCAAGAAACGCCCTCTGGGACCCCTTGGGATCCAGCCAAAACCAGCTCTCCGACATCCCCCAACGGGTCCCGAATTGTGAGAGTAATTCAGAAATAAATAAACCGTCTAATTTTAATGTGCTATAACCCTTACTTGAAGATAGGATGCATAATGATACAGTAGATCATTATCTCAAAGTTACTTATCAATTCACTTTGCAGTGTTCTCTAAAGTAGCCACCAGTTAACTGTTAAACAAATATTATATAACTATATTACAACCATTCATTAGGTCTTCAAAAGAAATGGCAATTGAAAACATGTTCAACATCACTAATTATTAGGGAAAGGCAAACCAAAGCCACAATGAAATTTCATTCACTCCTGTAGGAATGGCTAGCATAAAGAAAGACAAAAAAACTGAATTCTGGAGAAAACATGGAGAAAAGAGAAGACTTGTGCTGGTGGGATTGTAAATTTATAAAGCCACTAAGAAAAACAGTATGATGATTCTTCAAAAATATAAGAACAACCATATGTTTCACTTATTTCACTTCTGAATATTTATGTGAAGAATATAAAAACTCTAATTAAAAAAGATATATAACTTCTACATTCATTGCAGCATTATGTGATATATATATAGTGGGATATAACAGAATAGAACAGAATAAAATCTTGCTATTTGTGACAACATGGATGCACCTTAAGGATATAATGCTAAGTCAGAAGGAGTTAGCATTATATCCTATGATTCCACTCATACGTGGAGTCTTAAAAAAAAATAAACAAAAACCAAACTCATAGATAAAGAGGACGAGTGGTTACCAGAGGGGAAGGGAGTTGGGATGTGGTGAAAGGAGTGAAGAGTGGCAAATACACTGTGATGGATGGTCACTAGCCTTTTAGAGGTGAGCACTTTGTAATCCATACAGATGTCAAATTGCAGTGTTGTACACCTGAAACTTATATAATTAAAAAAAATAATACTTTCATGGTAAAAATGTTTTATTGAAATAAAAATAATTAGAACATTTCCATATGAGCAAAGATCAGCTAATAAATTATGAATTAAGAGGAAGGAGCAAATGGTCTAAATCTTAAATTCTAAATTACTCCTCTCTCTGTCCCTAATCCTGTCTTCCACCTCTTCCACTCTTTCTCTAGCACATAATATCCTCATTCTGGTCGTTTCTTTCCTCCTAATTCATCCCAGCTTGTTTCACGGCTGTATGCCAAAGACAGATTTTCCCTTGTTTTCCCTCACTCCGAATAATCCCCTCACTCCACTTAGATAGTATGCAATTCCATGCTATAGAGTCTTAGCCAGGACCTTAAACCGTAATATTTGTTTTCATTGCCTATTGGTCCACTCCATGATCCCAAAGTGGCTTTTTCAAACCTTTTTTTTTTTATTCTCCTAGTCCCATAAACACTCAGTCTCTTACCAGTCACTCCCTCCTTAAGATTAATGCTATCCAGAGAGAAAAATCTTAGCTTTCCCATCTTTCCTCTCCATTTAAAAATTTCATACTTTTACTTCTTTCCCCCCCCAATCTACTTCTGAAGTATGTTTACTTCCTGTTTCTAATCTTTCTATGGACTTATTGCTTCAACTTTACTTCTCTGTAATTACAGCTTCCATTTCTCCATCTCTACTGGTCCCTTCCTGTCTTCAAGGATTCTCAGAACTCCCTGTTTTTAAAACCTGATTCCTTAGCCATGACAAAACCAAAACTATGGTTATTTATTGGTCTCCCTCCACCCCTTCACCAAACCTCTCAGTTCTTGTCTATATTATGCCTATACCTCAAAGACCGTCTCAGACCTCTGCTCTGTGCTATCCCGATGCAGGTGAGGTCACTTACTTCAGATCCAACAAAGACTGTAATTATTTCCTTCCATTGTGGTTATTATTGTATTATTATATTTGTCCTTGATGAACTCTCTTTTTAAATCACATTAAATTCATAAGTGAAAACTGGTATCTGATTTTTTGTGTATTTAATTATTATTACTGGTGAAACAGCATTTCCCCCCGTGTCTATTTGTAATTCTTTCTGGAAGATTGAATGTTATTTGGTTAATTTTTCTATTCTTATGGTCCTTTTCTTTATTATTTCATAAGATCTCTTTACAAATTAAGATTATTCACTTTCAGTTATATATGTTACAGAAGATTTCCCTACTGTCGTACATTGTGCCATTAATCATTTACAGTGCTCCTGTTTGTTTTTACAAAAGAAATTAAAACAAATTTTTCCAACACCCTTTATCCCCTCTATGCCTCTTCCTCCTCCACCCATGTCCTTCCCCCACAAACCATCACCACACTGTTGTCCATGTCCATGCGTTCCTGTTTTCCTTTTCTTCTTTTTTGCTCAATTCCTCCACCATGAAATTTTAAATTTTAATGTGATCAGGTCTTTCCATTTTTTATTTATAATTTGTACCTTTAATGGTATGCTTGTTACAGCCTTCTCTACATACATTTTAACTATTAATTGTATAAAATGTATAATTTTGTTCTAATTATATCATGAATTTAGACAATAATTAAGCTCTATATCTGGTATTATTTTTTACTATTTGGATGTAGATTTTTCAGAAAGATAGATGAAAATTTCTGTTTTCTATATAATTCACACAACTATACCAGCACCATTTATTTAATAGCCCATCCTTTTTCTCATCACCTGTAATCAGATACTATATTCTGATGTATAGTCAGGATAGTTTCTGTGCTAATAACAACAAATACTTTTTCACTTTTGTGTGTGTGTGAGCGCATGTGTAGTGACTTATCCTTCACAACCACCTATGAGGCAGGCAGTGCTTATTATTCTCACCTTGTAGATGAGCAACAGGCAGGAGCATGTTGACCCTGCTGGGTAATGGTAGTCTAACAGTGATGATTAGTCTACTAATCTTTCCACCAAGAAAAAAATGTCTCCCTGTTGTAATTAGTAAATTTTTAAAATAACTTTATAATTTAATAATGTTATTTATCTTTCATTCTATTTTTAATATATTTTTAAATATTTTATATCAGTTTGAGACATACCATATATCATAGTGGTTAGGCAATCATATACTTTTCAAAGTAGTTCCCCCAATATTTCAATATAAAGTATCCACTTGGCACCATACATAGTTATTACAATATCATTATCTCATTCTCTTTAAGTAGTTGCTTGGCTATGGTAGTTGTTTAAAAACGTAGGTTCTAGAGTCGGAGCTCCTGGGGTGAAATCCTGCCCTCCTTACTTATTCTGTATCCTTAACTGGCCTGTGTCTATTCCTCCATTAGGAGAAACGAGAATAATAATGGCATATTGCAATACAATTGTTATCAGGGTTAAATGAAGTGATACATATAAGTGCTCATCATCCAAAGATGGCAGATGAGTACCCTATCATCACTAGACATATTTTATTATTTAATAGCAACAATAGAAGTCATAGATAGTAAAATATTTTCAAAGGCCTAAAAGAAAATAACTGTCATCCTAGAATAGTATATGTAGCAAAGTAATTCTTCAAGAGTAAGGTTGAAAGAAGACATCTTTAGATAAATAAATGCTAAAGGACTTTTACTAAAGGATCTTCTAAAGGGTGAATTTCAGGAAGAAAGAAAATAACCCTAGCAAGAAGATTTATGATATAATAAAACAGCAAAATATAAGTAAAAACAATTAAATTTTATCCACAGAAAATAGCAACAAAGGATAAGACTGCTTATGGCATGACAGAGTGAGGAGGTTGGCATATTTGGTTCCCAAAGAGGAAAAGAAATAGCAGAACAAATCCTTCAAACCAACCATTTCAGTGCTACGGAAATCAAGTAAAGGCACAAGATACAAAAATTGTAAAGTACAATGGGGGAATGAGGTCAATTTTTTAAAGAAACAAACAAATCATATGGTTCTTTCATATGTGATGCTATTCTAGCTTTATTAAAAATTACTAAAATATTATTAAGAATGGCCTTCTCTGGTTATAAATATTATGCAGTGGTTTTTTTTTTTTTAATATATTTTATTGATTTTGTACAGAGAGGAAGGGAGAGAGATAGAGAGCTAGAAACATCGATGAGAGAGTCATCAATCAGCTGCCTCTTGCACACCCCCTATCGGGGCTATGCCCGCAACCAAAGTACATGCCCTTGACCGGAATCGAACCCAGGACCTTTCAGGCCCCAAACCGACGCTCTATCCATTGAGCCAAACCGGTTTCGGCTGTTTTTTTTTGTTTTTGTTGTTGTTGTTTGTTTTTACAATCTTAGCAGAGAAACAAACTTTGTGGTAGCAATTGATTACCCCAAACACAAATATCAGTCAATAAACACCCAGTGCCTACAGTGGCTCCTTCCTCTGTCTCTGGTTTCCACGCAGGCCTTTAGAAAGTAAAGGCTGCATGCTTTCAGAAGTGCCCTCATAGGGTTGGCCCCAATGTGTCATGTACTAGCGGCCCAGCAGCATTAGCTGATCTATCATTATGTCCCAAAGCAGCAGAACCTTGTGGTTTCAGCATGTGAGGAGGAATCAGAGCCTTCTCAGTTCTATTCCTGGATCTACCACTTACTTGATCCTGTGGTTTTGGGCTTGTCACAGTTTCTCTGCGGTTAAGATGAAATCCCCTCAATGTCATTTGCCTTTGGTGTTTAGGACACAATGTGGTCAGGCTATAAATTTATGCTGTTTTCTAAGTGAAAGCAAAGCATAGGAATAGGTAGTAAAATGGTGCACAAGATACCTTATCATTTACAAGAGTTTGTTTTAAAATT